CAGGATCATCCAGTCCAACCCTTGACCCTGCCCAGACACCCCAACGATCCCACCCTGTCCCTCAGAGCGTTGTCCAAACCTTCCTGGAGCTCTGGCAGCCTTGGGGCTGTGACCATTCCCTGGGGAGCCTGGGCAGTGCCCAACCACCCTCTGGGAACAGAACCTTTTCCTAATATCCAGCCTAACCCTGCCCTGACACAGCTCCAGCCGTTCCCTGTGTCCTGTCAGTGGTCACAGCGAGCAGAGATCAGTCACTGAAGTGCTGCTCTGATGATGGTATATTTTTAGCTGTGATACCCTCAGTGCAATCCCCTCCCTCTGTGTGGTTGTGAAAACACCATTGTCCTGCTGTGCCTGTTGCCAGGAAAGAGTGTTTTAATCATCCTCGTATGTCTATTATGAAATATTTTTGTTTTCTGAGATAAAAATAGCCCAGCCAGCACTCTGGGCATACCTCACTCCTCCCCTTCCAAACCGTATTTCACATCAGAAAGTTGCCTGCTAATAATAGGGGAAAAAAGAAAAAAGAGCAGCATTTTGGAACATTTTTTGCATGTTAAAATTGGACAGATTAAAGTTAATTTAACAATAATGACCTCCCACAGTTAATATTTGATGCAGACAGCGCCAGGGCACAGTGTGATCACTAACAAGGTCAGGGAAGGATTTCTTCTCTTGTGCAACACTCAGGGATGTTACTCTTCTCCCAGGTATTTGAGATTGGCCACGGGCAGCTGGTGAACCCTCTGTTAGCTGGGCTGTGTTCTCAGAACTCTCTCTCCCTGGTCTGCTCTCATTTGCTGGATGATCCTCCTTAACTCTTCATTTAAGGGAGTTAAAGTTGCTTGGTAAAAACTAACCATCAACCCCCGCATAAATCTACTAATTTTAGTTATTTGGTAGAAAACCTTTTGATGCCCTTTTGAATTCCCAATTTTCCAGGTTGCCCAGAGAAGCTGTGGCTGCTCCATCCCTGGGAGTGTCCAAGGCCATGCTGGACAGGGCTTGGAGCAACCTGGGCTAGTGGAAGGTGTCCCTGCCCATGGCAGGGGGTGGAACTGGATGATCCCTTCCAACCCAAACCATTCCATGATTTTATGATTTTTAAGGAACTACAATCAGAAAAAGGGTGGGGAGAGATCTAAGGAGAGATTGCATCTTGTGCTTTTTCCACATAGCTGGAAAAAACCCCCACATAAATTGCTGAGCATAGAAGCAGTTTGCCAAGCCCGACACCAAAACTGATACCAAGGATGGGAGCAATTGCTCCACGTTTATTTTCATTTATTTTCACACTTAACCAGTGTCTTCCCTTCCCACCTCTTGTGCAACAGTGAGCTGTGTCTGGCAAGAGAGGGGGGAGGAGATGCTGTGAAAATATGAGTATTGTTACTGCTGATAACTGCAAGTGAACCCCAACAGATGTGGGGAGGGACAACGCAGAGGATGGGGGTGATATCTGAGGGCAGATGCCAAACCCAGCCCTGAGCTGGTGGTATCTGACAATCCATGTGGTGCTGGAGCTGTGCCAGGGACGGTTCCACTGGTGGGAACCCTTTGGCATCAGTTGGTGGGAGCACCTCGTGCTGGCAGCACCTCTGTGACTGTGCTGGGTTTGGGTGACAAGGTTTTGGTACAGGGGGTGGCTGCTGTGAGAAGCTTCTGGAAGCTTCCCCCGTGTCCGTGGAGCCAATGCCAGCTTGCTCCAAGATGGATCTGCTGCTGGGCAAGGCCAAGCCCATCAGCAATGGTGGTGGAGCCTCTGAGATAACGTATTTAAGGGGAAAAAAGCCCTGCAGAACAGCTGCTGGAGAGAGGAGTGAGAACATGTGAGAGGAAAACCCTGCAGACCCCCAGGCCAGTGCAGAAAGAAGGGAAGGAGGTGCTCCAGGCACCAGAGCTGAGATTCCCTTGCAGCCCCTGGAGGACTCCACACTGGAGCAGGGGGATGCCCAAAGGAGGCTGTGGCCCCATGGGAAGCCCAGCCTGGAGCAGGATCCTGGCAGGACCTGTGGGCCCATGGAGAGAGGAGCCACTCTGGAGCAGGTTGCTGGTAGGACCTGTGACCCAGTAGAGAACTCTCACTGGAGCAGCCTGTTCCTGGACTGTCTCCCACAGGAAGAGTGTGAGGAATCCTTGCCCGGAGGAGGAAGGAGCAGCAGAGACCACGTGTGATGGACTGAGCACAGCCCCCATTCCCCATCCCACTGCACCACTTCCAGGGAGGGAGTAGAGAAAATCAGGAGGGGAGTTGAGCCCAGAAAGAAGGGAAGGATGGAGGGAAGGTGTTTTAAGATTTGGATTTACTTCCCATTGACCTCCTTTGATTTGATTGGTAATAAATTAAACCATTTTCTTCAAATGGAATCTGTTTTGCCCGCAACAGAAATCAGTGAGTGAGCTCTCCTTGCCCTGAGCTCGACCCACAAGCCTTTCGTTGTATTTTCTCTCCCTGCCCAGCTGAGGAGGGAGCAGGAGTGGCTTTGGGGGGCACCCAGTGCCCATCCAGGGTCACCCTACCACAGTGACACAGTGACAATCCAGACACCAGCATCACTCCCTGGCTGTGTCCTGGGCTGGGTGGCTCCCAGAGCCAGACTGGCTTCTCTGGCAGCACCTTGGATCGTGGCAGTGCTTGGAATCTGACTCCTGAGATTCAGGGCATGCTGGCAGTTGTTTGTGTCTCAGGAATACAGATGTGTGCAGAAATACCCTCTCTGTGCCTCCATCTCTGGATAGCCTAGAAGGAATTTGTAACCTGTTTGTCATCTCTCACACCTTTTTTGGGCTTGTATCTCCTTTGGATACCAGGCCAGCCCAGCCCTGCAGTTTTAAACTAAGTCCAGGATTTCATCCTCCTTCTTGAGGCCTCAAGCAGAAAAGGCAAAATATCTGAGCAAAGGTTTTGTTGGAGAGATACTTGACTGACAAGACACAAACCACTCTTTAGACTGTTTTCTTTCCTATCTGCTCAACACCCTTCATTACCCCAGCTGGAAATCACCAAGGCTCCCACTGAGAACCTCCCTCAGCTCACATAGGAAATAATAATTGGCTTTCTAAGTACAAGTGAACTAGTTAAATATGATGAGTTGGCTATTTTCACAACTGCTGTACCTAGACTGTCTTTGCACTGCTGTACTTAGACCCTGGTCCCCTTTTTATAGGGAAAAATAAAAATAGTATCTTTTTTTGCCTTTCTTAAAAAAATAATTCTCAGTTGTTGACGTATTCCCACGTTTGAAACATGGCATTAACTACATGAGCAAATCCAGATATAATCAGATTAATGGAGACAGACCAAAAGCAACATTTACCCAAGAACTCCGAACACTGTCAACTTTCTCACTCCTTTTTCACTCTGCTAAAAATGAAAGGTCTGAAATTTTCACACAGCATCTCTGCTTCTGCTCCACCCTTCCTGTCACAAAGGGCATCCTTGCTGCATGTACAGCAGAGTCTGCTGCTTTGCCTAAAAACTCATAAGAGGAGGAGGTTTAAGTGCTTTATTTCTTCCTCCATCCGTCCAGTCCTTTGCTGTTGCAAGTTAAGGCCTTGCTGTTGGAGAGCATCAGCTTGTTTTCCAGAGTAGGAGGGCATCTTTTTGCAGATCCTATTTTTCTTGCTTACACAGTTAAATAACAAAATGACAGACTGGTTTGGGTTGGAAGGGACCTTAAAGATCATCTCGTTCCATCCCCTGCCATGGGCACAGACACCTTCCACTCTCCCAGGTTGTTCCAACCTGGCCTTGGACATTTCCAGGGATCCGGGGGCAGCCACAGCTTCTCTGGGCAACCTCTGCCAGGGCCACATCACCCTCATAGGCAGGAATTTCTCCCTAGTTTTCCTCCCAGGTTGCTCAGAGCCCCATCCAGCCTGGGAGGCCTCCCCACACCTCAGGCCACCCTCACGGGCTGGGTTGGGGTGGCTGGGGGGCATTCCAGGGGTGGAGGGGACACAATCCCACCTCTGAGGGGCTTTTTTGGGCCCATCCCATATATAGTGGGGTCTCTGTGCTCCATGTGGGACAGTGGAGCCCAGCACGGGGCTGCTCCATCCCAGGGCAGTGACTGTCACCCTGTGCTGGCACTGCTGGGGCACCTCCAGCCCTGGGGGCACTTCTGGGACCCTCAGACAGGAGAGACATGGAGGGGCTGGAGCGTGTGCAGGGAAGGGAACGGAGCTGGGAAGGGGCTGGAGCAGCAGGAGCGGCTGAGGGAGCTGGGGGGGCTCAGCCTGGAGAAAAGGAGGCTCAGGGGGGACCTTCTGGCTCTGCAACTCCCTGACAGGAGGGGGGAGCCGGGGGGGGGTCGGGCTCTGCTGCCAGGGAACAAGGGACAGGAGGAGAGGGAACGGCCTCCAGCTGTGCCGGGGAGGTGTAGTTTGGATATTGAGAACAATTCCTTCCTGGAAAGGGTGGTCAGGCCTTGGAAGGGGCTGCCCAGGGAGGTGGTGGAGTCCCCAGCCCTGGAGGTGTCACTCAGTGCTCCGGGCTGGGGGACAAGGTGGGGATCGGACACAGGTTGGACTGGATGATCTCAGAGCTCTTTTCCAACCTCAGTGACTCCATGATGGTGTTCCTGCCCACTGGGATCATTCTGTGCCCCCCTCCTCTAACCGGGGGCAGCACTCGGGCTGTCCCTGCGCCCGCTGCCGCTCTCTCACCTCTTAACATTTAACTCATGTTAAGTCGAGGGGCTTGAACTTCACAGCGGTTCGGTTTAAAACGCCACCGATTTCCCGGTGAAAACAACGCCATTCCGCTGTCCGGGGAATCAACCCGCGAGAAATGCAGTCCGCCAGCACGACCCGAGCGCCGGCTCCTCGCAGCACTCAGCACACGGGCCGTCCCCGGCGGCCCCGCCGCGATCCCCCGCGATCCCGCCCCGCTTCCCTCCGCCGCCCCGGCTGACGTCAGGGATCCCGCCCCTCCCGTTCCCTCCCCCCTCCCCGTTCCCGTCCCCGTCCCCCCCCCCCCCCACTCGCGGCCACCGTAGCGGGAGCGGCGGAGGCCCCGCGGCGGCCGATGGTCCGCGCAGCGCCGCCGCCCCCCGCCCGCCCCGCGCCCCCCGGGCAGATGGCGCGGCGGGCCCCGGGCCGGCGGGGCGGGAGTTCGCCGGCACCGCCGCCGCGGCCGCTGCTGGCGCTGCTGCTGCTGCTCCTGCTGGGCCCCGCCGCGGCCGCCGCCGCCGGCGAGGAGGCGGCGGTGGCGGTGCCCAAGGAATGCGACAAGCCGTGCGCCAACGGCGGGCGGTGCCAGCCCGGCACCGGGCAGTGCGAGTGCCAGCCGGGATGGGTGGGCGACCAGTGCCAGCACTGCGGGGGGAGGTTCAGGTGAGAGCCCGCGGCGAGAGGGGCGGGCGTGGGGGTGGCCCCGTAAGGGGTGGGGTGATGGGGAGGGGGGCGAGGGGCTGGTCTGGGGTACGGGGTTGGTCTGGGGTGCGGGGTTGCTCTGGGGTATAGAGGTTGTTTTGGGGTCTAGGTTGGTTTGGGGTATAGGGGTTGTTTTGGGGTCTAGGTTGGTTTGGGGTATAGGAGTTGTTTTGGGGTCTAGGTTGGTCTGGGGTACAGGGGTTGTTTTGGGGTCTAGGTTGGTTTGGGGTAAAGGGGTTGTTTTGGGGTAAAGGGGTTTTGAGGTCTGGGTTGGTTTGGGGTGCAGGTTTGGTTTGCGGTACAGGGGTTGGTTTGGGGTCTGGGTTGGTTTGGGGTGCAGGGCTTGGTTTGGGGTCGAGGTTGCTTTGGGATACAGGGGTGATGGATTGTTTTGGGACTGGGGCTGGTTTGGGATACTGTGTTGGTTTGGGGTATGGGGTTGGTTTGGGGTTGGAACTGGTTTATGGTCAGGAGTGGTTTAGGGTATGGGTTTAGTTTGGGATCTGGGTGTAAGAGATTGGTTTGGGGTCACGGTTGGTTTGGGGTATGGGATTGCTTTGGGGTCACGGTTGGTTTGGGGTATGGGATTGGTTTGGGGTACGGGGATGAGGGCCTGGTTTGGTGTGAGAGTTCGGTTTGGGGTACAGGAGAGCTGGTTAAGGGTACAGGGGTAAGGGCTGGTTTGGGGTATGGGGATGAAGGGTTTGTTTGGAATATGGGGGTGAGAGATTGATTCGGGGTATCAGGGTGAGGGGCTGACATGGGGTGAGGGCCTGGTTTGGGGTACCAGAGCGAGGGGCTGGTTTGGGGTATGGAGGGGAGTGCGCAGGAGCCACACCGGGGCTGAGGGTGAGGGACAGGGCAGGGGGCAATCAAGGGGACAGCAGCAGCCTCATGGCACCAGGTCAGGCTGCCCAGGAGGACACTTGGGGGAAATAGGTGGGAGAAGTGGGTTTAGGGGCTCTAAAGGGTGGGAGGCAACACGAGGTCCAGGGGTGAGTGTGGAGGCAGTGGGGTCGTGGGTGTGAGGGGCACGACCAGGAGAGAGTAAGGGTGAGGGGCACGACCAGGTGACAGTAAAGGTGAAGGGCAGATCTAGGTGACAGTAAGGGTGAGGGGCAGGACTAGGTGACAATAAAGGTGAGGGGCAGGACCAGGTGACAGTAAGGGGGAGGGGCAAGACCAGGTGACAGTAAAGGTGAGGACCAGGTCCAGGTGATGATGAAGGTGAGGGGCAGACGGAGGTGTCAGTAAAAGTGAGGGGCAGATCCAGGTGACAACGAGGGCAAGGGGCAGATCCAGGTGACAATGAGGGCAAGGGGCAGACCCAGGTGACAACGAGGGCAAAGGACAGACCCAGGTGACAGAGATAAGAGGCTGGCCCAGGTGACAATAAAGGTGCAGGTGTTGGGACAGGGTAGGAGCGTGTTGAGGGGACAGCAGGCACTGGGGTGACCCTGGTTGAGCCCCAGGGCAGTGCAGGGGTGAGTGTGAGGGGCTGATCCAGGGGGATGTGGGTGCAAAGGGCTGGGCAGGAGCCAAGCGGTGGCACAGCAGGGATTTGGGTGCAGGGAGGGAGGTCTGGGGGATGTGGCTGTGAGGGGACACAGGGTGACAAGAGCATGAGTGTGATGGGTGACAGAGTGGAAAGTCAGGTCTGGGGGTCCCCGGAGTGGTTGGGGCTGCGTGGGGGAGGTCTGGGAGCGATGGGATGTGGGTGTCGGGTGCCCTGGTTGGTGGGTACGGGGTGTTTGTACCCCAGAGGCAGCTCTGAGGGGACCCAGTTTTGGGTGTTGGTGACAGGGGGGGTCACTGAGGGTCAGTTGTGAGTCTCAGAAGCTGTGTAAGAGCAGGGATGTGGGGGTAGGATGCTGGGTCAGTGGGGTCTGGGTGTGAGGGATTGCTGAGCCTGGAAAATGTTGGGTTTAAGTTGTTGTAGGTCTGGAGAGAAAGGGAGAAGGGGGGGACTGGGTGGGGGGACATTTTAGGGCAGCAGAGGGAGGTTTGGGGGCTGTTTGAGTGGTGGGCTAAGGATGGTGGGTGGTTGCATGGACGTGGATGGAGGTGGGAACAGTGAGGAGCCGGTGCTGTGGCTGGAGGACAGTGTGGATGTGGGGCCAGTTCCTGGACTGGGGCAGACACAGGAGAAGGACCAATGTGGAGATTAATGTGGATCAGGTTTGGAGGGGAAGGGCTGTGAGCCACTGTTAGGGCTGGGTGGGGCCAGCAGGAGGGTTTGGGGGGATTAAAGAAGCTCCTCTTGGCAGATAAGCAGGTGCTGGTTAAAGGTGAGGTGCTGGTGAGGTGTGTGTAGGGAGGAGAAGCAGCATCCTAAAAGGAGTATCTGGAGTTTGGGAGGCTCAGCTTTTGGAGCAGGAATGCTGCTGGCTCTTGGGGAGGGATGGCCTGGTGGAAGGAAGCTCCTGGGCTTGTGGGGGGACAAGGCTGGGCAAGGGGTGGAGTGGGACAGAGGGTGGTGGGAGGGTTCTACCACTGCAGGGGCGTTTTGTTTGGAGGAAAAAGGCTATAAAGGAGGGTTCTGGGAAGCAGGATGGAAACCTGAGGGGTGCCTGTGGGAATGAGGGGTGCCTGCACAGCACAGAGGTGATTTTTGGGCTGTCTGATGCTGGAAAGTTCATTGCTGCAGTGCCAGGGCCAGTTCTGGTGGTGTTGGGACACTCAGTGGGGTTGTGTGTCCGAAGCCTATCCCATAGGGTGAGAAAATGGAAATCTTCCTGGGAATAGGCTGGGAATGCAGCCTGGATTGGGTGTTGTGGGCAGGGTTTGTGTAAGATGGTTACCTGCCTTGGATCCATCAGCTGTGGCAGTGACAGAGGCACTGTGTGTGTGTGTTTGTGTGTGTGTGAATTCCCTGGGCATGGCTGATTCCTGGAAAAGAAGGAATTGAGGAAAGGATGATTATCCTGGGCAGTGATTGCTTTCTCAGGGAGCTGCTGAGAGTACCAAGCACCCTTGGATGATGCTCCCTGTGGATTTGGGAGGAGGGGAGCTGTCTGTGTGAGCTGAACTCACAGAGGAAAAAGACTTTTATTATTTATTTGGGTTTTTTTGACAGTCTGTAGATGGGAGTGTGATGCAGCCAATTTAAAAGGGGTTTTTATAGAAGCGATTCCAGGCCAGGCAAGTCCAAAGCTGCCTTTTTAAGGTCTTTTTGCCACTCTCATGAGAAGAATTTCCCTCTAGTTGAGTTTTATGAAATAGCCACTTACCTGTTACTTTCCTGGAGAGCTTTAGGATGTTGATCATTTAAGGGGGACTGGATTTAAGTAAAAGCAGAGGCTCCTTTGCTGAACGATGCCACATAAAAAAAGAATTGCTATGTATCCACTGCTAATACAACCTCAATTTTTTATCCTCTTGCCCGTTTTCATAAAGCTTCTTGTTTCTTTCTCACGTACAATCCCAACCTAAAAGTTTGCTTGAACGAATATGTTCAGAAATACAATGAATCTTGTTCTCTCGAGGTGGTTTATTTGCCTGTTTATTTCTTTATGAAGGAGTTGAAGTTCCCAGTAATGTTTTTAAACTTTGAGCCCCAAGCAAGTGCTTTTAGCAGCGTTTAGAGCTTTGCAGTCACGTGCCACCTTCCACATGCCTCGAGTTTGCTCTGTCTCCTGTCAGAAACGGCCCTGCAGGAGGTATATTTTTATTTTTTTTTTTGGTTTATGGCTGTCAAGGGCTTGGCTTTAAAGGACCTGACGTGTCATGAGATGCTGGAGGTACAGCTGGGAAGTGGAAGGGGCAGGTGAAAATTATTTCCTAAGTGTGGTGGTATATTCCACGTGCTTATCTGGTTGGCTGAGGGATGTAATTAAAGTTGGCACGATAATCACCCCGTCTTATCTCGACGTATGTGATAACTGTATTTATTGCCTCCACTGCTTTTATTTACATTGAACACTGGGGCTGTAAAGACACGACTTGTGCCTCATTAACCTGTTAATTCCTCCCATCTTCCGGGTTGGCAGCGAGGGATGAATGTTGGAGCAACGAGTCTGATCATATTCCAGTTCCCTTTTTCCTTGGGAAATCTGTTTATTTAGACTGCGGTTGGATGTATAAATAACACACCGGCCATCTGTGGTGCTCTTGGGGGTGGAGAAGGTTGACTTGGGAAGGGCTTCAGGTGACCTTCAGCGTTTTTAAGGTGTGGAACCAGCGGTTTGAGCTGTTCAGAGATAAAGATCTCGGCGGTAACAGAAGCTGAAGTAGAAAACAGGGCCCTGATGTGCTGGTGTTTTCTGTTTCTGTGCAAACCTCCTGGGCTGGGCTGTGTGATCTGGGCAGGAGAGGAGCTGCTGCTGGGAGGGATGAGAGATCCCCCAGTCCCAGAGCTGCAGCAGCATCCTGGGATAACGTTTGGAGGGGTGGGAGCTCCAGACTCAGTTGGAGTTCAGTTGGCAGCGCTGGGTGTGCAACACAAAGGTGCTGCAGGCTCAGAGAATGGGCTCCTCCAGGCTCTGTGTGCAGCTCAGTGACAGCCTCTAGTCCTGCCTAAACTGAGTCCTGTCAGCCTGCTGCCTGATTAACACACTGGTCCAAAGTCTCCACAGGGTTGGGGACTCCACCACTGCCCTGGGCAGCTGTACCAGGGCTGGACACCCCTTTCCAGGAAGAAATTTTCCCTGTTGTCCAACCTAAACCTTCTCTGGCACAGCTGGAGGCCTTTCCCTCTCCTCCTGTCCCTTGTTCCCTGGGAGCAGAGCCTGACCCCCCCAGCTCCCCCCTCCTGTCAGGGAGTTGCAGAGCCAGAAGGTCCCCCCTGAGCCTCCTTTTCTCCAGGCTGAGCCCCCCCAGCTCCCTCAGCCGCTCCTCATCTGCCAAGGGAGGTAAAGCACAGGGTGAGAAATGACCTCTGGTTCACACGGATTTATTGTCCCGAGATGGTGAAGGATTGGATTAAGGAATTCAGGATAACGATTGACTCCTGGAACAGTCAC